TGTGCTACCCCAAATGCATCACAGCTTATGCAGCTTTTGCTCTCAGATCCTCTTCCCCAGCTGCAGGAGATGCATTATTCTACCACCATCACAGCCAGAATATGGCGATAACATCCCTTGTGGGCGGTACTCAACTACCAGTGATGATAATGTTACACCCTTCTTAGATGGACAAATATTGGAGACTTTTCCTTTGTTTCTATGAAATACTGATGGAACTGAATTTCTGTTGCCTACAGCAGGAAACTCAGAATGAGAACTTACATTTGCTTTCATTCCTCTGTCTTTCCCATGGTGCTTTCTCCCTTACTCCTGTTAACCAGTTTCACCCTCCAAGGAAATCATTTATAGTCAAACATAACTCAGGTGTTACCTTGAATGAAGTCAAGAAAGTCTCTGCTTATCATATCAGTTTTGCAAATGTAATTATCCTGGTCAAAACTACTCTGTCCATGAATGATTCCCATGAAAAAGTCCCATTTCCCCCCACATTGGGATCTGGGATCATATATTGACCCCTCAGTAAAATTTTGTTTATATTATAAACATTTAAAATTTCACCATATTGAATGAATGATTTTTGTATGGCATTTGACTGAAGGAGATGAGATATTATTCCTGTAACAATCACTGATTTAATCAATGCTTCTTTAAATTGGAGTTTAAGGAAAAATGTTAAAGCTTATCTAACAATAGATATATACATACTTTCTAGGAGAACATGTAAGATGTAGAAAGAGGAGCATTTATAATGATCCTCACATTAAGAATTTAGAGAATGTAGTGCTAGCTGGAGTCAAAGGAGAAAGAAGAGAAAGCATTAGAGATTAAATATCAAGTAGAACTATTTGCCCTTTATGTAGAACTAGAAAGAATGTCTTGAAGCTGTGGAATTAAGATTTGTCAGCAAGTCCTCTCACATGGCATGAGAAACTAGGCAAAAGAGGAATAAACCATGTGCAAAGAATAAAATCAATTATACATTCACAAGAACGAAGACTAAGTTTATGGGGACTATTGAACTGTGGAAGACAGCCAGTTTGTCAGAGATCGACGCACACAGGGAGAACAAAATTAAGATGAGCCAAAAATCTGAATAAACTTGCTTTAAAAGATGACAGTCATCAGAGTGACTTAGAGAAACAAGACAGAAGTTGAGTTAATTTGACTTTTTTTTTTTTTTTTTTTGCTGGAGTCTCAGGCTACTTTGAAGAAGCTCTTTCAGCAACATTCCTTCTGGCTTTTCAAAGGGCTATTCCCAAAGAGGTTGTGAGGAAGTATAAAGTCAAATTGTTGTGAATTAATGTTAAAATAGTGGGTATTTTAGTATATTTGACTTTGAACACAGTTGAGCGGGTGCACTTCACATTATAGGTTATGACATTTCAAGGATCTACTTACTTACGAAGGAACAGCACAGATGGTATTGAGAAATGAAGTACAAATTTTTTTATTTTTGTTCCAAAGTTTACATAGAAATATGCAATGAAAAGAATAGGTATGATGGAAATTAAAGATCAGTGTAGAATCAAAGAGAAGTGATTTAAATATGGGAGTATATTACGTATTGCTCAGCCAATGAAGATTAATATATATGTAGTTAAAATTACATTTGATAACTTTCCTTGAGACAAGTTGCGGTGTGACAATCCCAATTGACTAAAATATATACTATTTGAATGTTAATATATATAAAAGCAATACATCACATTTTTGTCTTCAAATTTAATTACATTTAGGCATTGTGGTGCAGGGGGTTAATCTGTCACTTGGGAAGAGCACATCTCATATTGGAGTGCTGATTTGAGTTCTGGTGGCTCTGTTTCCAATCAGGGGATATAGCTCAAGTGTTTGGACCCCTGCCACCCACTGGGGAGACTTGGGTGTAGTTCTTGATTTCTACTTCAAGCCTAGCCCACTCTCTGCTGTTGTACATTTGAAGGAGCAAGAAAACATGGATGTCTGTCTCTCTTTCTCTTGCTTTCTCCTTGTCTCTGTCTCTCTCTCTTCCTTTAAAGTGATGAAAACGGGCCAGCATTGTTGCATAGAGTGTAAAGCTGATGACTTTGATGCTGGCATCCCATATGGGTTCTTGTTTGAGTCCCAGCTGCCCTGCTTCTGATCCAGGTCCCTGCTATTGGCATGTGAAAATGGCAGGCCAAGTATTTGGGACCCTGCCTTCATGAAGCTCCAGGCTCCGGGCTTTGGCCTGCCCCAATGCTCTCTGTTGTGGCCATCTGGGGAGTGAACCAGTGGCTGGAAGCTCTCTCTATATATATAACTCTGACTTTCAAAATAAATTAAAAAATAAAGCTTAAAGAAATAAAGTGATGAAAGTAAACATGGGGCAAGCGCTGTGGCGTAGCAGGTAAAGCCTCCGCCTGCAGTGCCAGAATCCTATATGGGCTCCAGTTTGAGACCTGGTTGCTCCACTTCCAATACAGCTCTCTGTTATGGCCTAGAAAAGCAATGGAAGATGGACCAAGTCATTGGGCACCTGCTCCCGCGTAGAAACGTGGAAGAAGCTCCTGGCTTCTGGCTTTGGATTGGCGCAGCTCCTGGCTTTGAATTGGTGCAGCTCTGGCCCTTTTGGCCATTTGGAGAGTGAAACAGTGGATGGTAGACCTTTCTCTCTCTGCCTTTCCTTTTCTCTGTGTAACTGACTTTCGAGTAAATAAATAAATCTCTTTTTTTAAATAAACAAGTATTTGTTAATTTAATTGCAAATCCTTCCAAAATATCCAGATGTGTGTATGTGTGTATGTTTCTGTGTGTGTGTATGATAAACATTAAACATCATGATCAATTGGGAAGTATCCAAAAATCTCAAAGTTAATTTAACAGATTATAAATCATTATATCATATGTACTAGCTTCTTATTGCTATATAAGGTATCATTTTTCAGATCCATTGATTAGGGCATGAACATCTTTGAGGGCTACTATTTAATATGCCAAAAACCTTCATCTAATTAGAAAAGGAGCCATTCCATATGCAAAATGTATCTATCATATCCCATGGTCTGTAACAGCTCAAGTCCAAAATTTCATCTAAGGCTCCAGAATTTCATTATCCTAGCCATTTAAATTAGCAATGGATGAAGCTTTCAACATTATCCATCCTGGGAAAAAATTCCTCTCCATATGTGCTTCTCAAAACTAGTAAACAAGTTATTTGCTTCTAAAATGTAACATTAGAAAAGACATAGGAAAGTAGTTATAGACATCCTCATTCAAAATGGGAAAAAAATGAAAGTATAATGGAAACAATTTATTGCAATAAAATTCTAAATGTAATCAAGTAAGCATCTCTATATTTCAAAGACTGTGAACAATCTTCTAGACTTGCTATAAGGAACAAGGAGAAATGCTGCCATGTCAACACTTTGCTTGGAAATCTCATTTGAATACCTAAGTTTGTTACCCAACAATTTCTACTTTTCATATAACTCATTAGACACAAGTCATCTGACTTTCTTGCACTGTAGAACAAGGATTTCCTTTGCTTCAGTGTCCAATAACAGTTGAACCTCCAATAATGTTTCTCAAGCTCTGTCCAGAAGAAATTTTAACATTCATATTTCAGGCCGGCGCCGCGGCTCAATAGGCTAATCCTCCACCTAGCGGCACCGGCACACCGGGTTCTAGTCCCGGTCGGGGCGCCGGATTCTGTCCCGGTTGCCCCCCTTCCAGGCCAGCTCTCTGCTGTGGCCAGGGAGTGCAGTGGAGGATGGCCCAAGTGCTTGGGCCTTGCACCCGCATGGGAGACCAGGAGAAGCACCTGGCTCCTGCCTTCGGATTAATGCGGTGCGCTGGCCGCAGCGTGCCGGGCCGCAGTGGCCATTGGAGGGTGAACCAACGGCAAAAAGGAAGACCTTTCTCTCTGTCTCTCTCTCACTGTCCATTCTGCCTGTCAAAAACAAAACAAACAAAAAAACAAAACAAAACAAAACAAAACAAAACAAAATTCATATTTCTACCAACAGTCTGCTAATGACTATTTTAAGTAATCTCAATGACAATGTAGCTTTTTTATCTCCCATGTTCCTACTTCATTCTGAGTTCTATCTAGGGATGTCTTTAATACCCAATTTCTTCAAGGTGATCCGAAATATCATGTTCATCAGACCTCTCCCAGCTGGACTGCTGGACTAAAAAGCCAAAAATGTGTTAGTTATTCTTTACAGCATCACCCATTTCCAGATCCTAATGTCTATACTAATTTCTTGCTGCTATTTATGATATCATAGTCACAGCTCTCCTGAGTTGAGTGGTAAACATCTTTGTAAGCCATTATTTAGTCTAACACATCATACTAATAAATTTAAAGAACACATGATCATTTCCATAAATTAAAAAACAAGCCTAACAGACTTTAATATATTCATAATAAAATTTCTTGATAAACTAGAAATAGAAAATACTATCTTCAATTTGATAAAATACTAAAATCTGAAGATATATCATATAGAATACTATAAGGGTTTAAATTGGGCAATAACTATACTACTTATGGTAACTTTGAAATAAATGTTGTGCAGAACTGAAAATTTGAGATGTAGTGGTTTAATGGTAAAAGCATGAATGTTTTCCTATAAGATGGAAGGTATGCAAGAATGTTTGCTCTTCCATTTCTATTCAACATGGTACTAGGTGTTCTAGCCAATGCATTTAGACAATTTTTAAAATAATGTAGCATAAAACTTGAAAAGGAAGATATAAAAGTGCATTAACAGATGATATGATATGTGATTCAGTATGTAAAAAAATTTCAAGACATACACACACACATAATACACTATTAGAACTCAAAAATTTAGTAAGGCTAGAGAATGCAATATCAATATATAAAACTGTTATGCTTCAATACTCTAAATTTGAACAATTCAAAAATTAAATAATTACATTCATAATAGAATAAAAATTAAAAATTAATACATTTTAAATAATAAATATATAATTTATTTGAAAAAAACACAAAACTTTGTGAGACAGGTAAAAGTACATTCAAATGTATGAAGAGATATTGATTATTGCTGATTATTTTCAGTCCCCTCTAAATAAAGTTTAATTGTTGCACTGGCTTCTGCATCCACCCTAGGATAGGCAGTCACTTCTGTCCTGTGACACACACATAGGCACTCTTCTCTTCTTGGTTGAATCGAACAACCCATGCTTTTCTGTCATTCCATTCCAATGAGAAAACCTGCCTTGATCAGTCCAACCTAATCCACTGTACTCTAAAACCTTCATTTTTGGAAGATATCAGAGAAGGAGATACAGAGGAAGCAAAGAAGAAAGAGAAGATGTTAGATATTCTTGCCTTCTAAGTGATCATTCTTTGGCTTTATATCTACAGGAAAATAGTACCATATTCCATGTTAGTTATATTAAGAAGGAATATTACATTTAAAACATATATTGCATTTAAAGAATGTGAAGAAGATAGCTGAGTGGATGGAAGTGGAAGTTTCATTTACATTGGAAATATATTAGGGCCTGGCTCACTTGGCTAATCCTCCATCTGTGGTGCCGGCATCCCATATGGGCACCAGGTTCTAGTCCTGGTTGCTCCTCTTCCAATCCAGCTGTGGCCCAGGAGGGCAGTGGAGGATGGCCAAAGTGCATGGGCCCCTGCACCCACAAGGGAGACCAGGAAGAGCCACCTGGCTCCTGGCTTCGGATGGGTGCAGCGCCGGCCGTGGCGGCCATATGGGGAGTCAATCAATGGAAGGAAGACCTTTCTCTCTCTCTCTCTCTCTCATTGTCTATAACTCTACCTGTCATATAAAAAAATGTATTAAGTGGAGTCATTAATTATCTTTAAATATTTGAAACAACATCATAATGGAAGGGAGGTGGTATAATGGTTTTAACAGGCAGAAATGAAACACAATCTCTCAATGGAAGTGCCTAAGAATGGAAATTAATGATCGCTAGGATTTTCACTCCTGGAGTCCTCAATCATAGACTATGATTATCTCTCATATTAAAATATGCCATTGTTCTCTTGTGCCAATTTGCTGTAAGTTTCCTCTAATGTTAGTGTTAAGAAGATACCAACCTAGGAGTATGCGAAACTTCTGGAGGATCTCAAACTTCCTCAGTATGCGTCAGCTGCTGATTTTATAAATGTTCTTGAACACTCCGCTGGTATCTGTTAGTGGTTCCTGGGGTCATTTCCTCTGCAGTCAGAGAAATATGGATTTGAAATCACACAAGCATGTTAGGCTATAAGTCAATTTACATGGCACACATGGATGTCCAGCCCATGTTGGAAGGGATAGTGTCATTTAGCTGGTGTTATAAACACCTTCAAGTCAATTCCTGGAGAGTAGAAATGAGGAGCTGTAAGTATGGACTACTGGCACAGGTTTTTGCCTTCTTGATGAATTAAAACACATATGAAGCTGAAAAAACTTCCCAACCTTATAAAGCTACTTTTACAGTGTTGCAGCTTTAAAAACATATAAAAAAAAAAAAAAAACATGGAAAGTTCAGGCACCTGTATTTTCTTCCATTAACTTACAGGATAAATAAATGGTATAAGCAAATAGCGTGATGCAGAATAAATGAACTCAATTTAGTAAGCCATTCATAAATGAGAAGCCTAGATAGGTTTTATTCACAAATATGTCCAGTCTTTATATTTAAAAAAAAAAAAAAAAACATTCTTGGAGCTGAACCTTACTTTTACTTGGTAACATAGTTTTGATAAATATAAAATAGCTGCCAAGTACATTTTTATATATCAAACAGGCCTCTTAGGTTTTCACCATATGCACTGAGCAAGAAACAGGTTTACCAGTTTATTCTGGCGACGGTTTAGTGCTTGAACTCCTTGAGAGGAAGCAAGCAATATTAAAGGCACTGTTTGACAAGGCACACTAATATTTGAGTCATTAAATGAGGATTTTTTTTCTTAAGGTTCATAATTTAAATGAGACAGCAACCTGATTAGGTAGCATTAAAAATGAGTTTTTAGCTGCTAATAAGCTTCCCCTTGGTTACACAGCCTGTTGTTTTCCTGAGGCAAAGAGAAGAGGGAGCTGCATGAGCCACTGTTTGCAATGCATGAATAAGATGACAAATGGGAAGAGGGCGTGGATGTTGATGAAGAAGGTTTGATTAGCAATTGGCAGCATGAAAACTTCTGAATTATTTTGCAAATTTAAAGAAAGGTTACACATGCAGTTGGTGAGCAGAATTATAGACACAAAAATAGAACTATCTGAAGAAGCAGACATTTTGTTTTCATGCATGTGATTTGGGTATTTTTGCATCTCTTTATCTTTAATCAAAACTCAGGCTAGGATCATAAGAGAAAGCAAGTGGAATTTACTTACATGATGCTTTGGCTATCAAACAAATGTCACTAGCATTTCCCTAGGCCACATCAGTCTGGGATAATAGTGGACGTGAAAAAGTTCCAGAACATAAATGATAAGTGCAAAGCTTCAGCAGACTGTGAGAGCACATGAAGTCACATTTACATGAATCTACCAAAGTTCTAAACTGGAACCTCCACCTGTTTGACTAGCACGGGGAATTCCGGGCTATACCAAGTGTTTTTCCTCCCCAAATATTTGCAACACCCCAAATATGCATATCACTTATGATTTCTTTGCAGCAAATAACAACAAAATGTAAATCAACTGGAACTAGTTAAAACAGCAGGAAGATAAAATATTCTCTAATCACAAAAAGATTAGAGGCAGTGTAGTTTCATCCTTGGCTCAGAAACATCATCAAGGAACCAGGCTTTTTCCACTGCTCAACCTGCCATGACTGGAGACCTTTGTGTATTAGTTTCCTTGTACTATCATAATGATGTATTACAAATTAGTTGGCTTTAGAAAAATGAAAATTTGTTCTTTTATTGTTTTGGAAGCTGCCAGTCAGAAATCAACTCACTGACTACACCGTGTTCCCACCACGAAGCCGTTCCTCCTTGCCTTTTCCAAGTTCTGGTGACTTCTGATAATCCTTGATGTTTCTTAGCTTGCAGCTACCTCACTCCATTTGCTGCTGCAGTTGTCACGTGGCTTTGTCCTTATGTGTCTCTGTGTATCTACATTTCCTGCCTCTAATAAGGACACTCACCATTGGTTGAGGGCCTGACATCATCAAATATGACTTCACCTTAGTATGATTACATCTGCAAAGACCTTCTCTCCAAAGTCACATATGTGAGTTCTAGTTGGACATACAACTGACGTGCACATCATTCAACTCAATCAGCTTGGTCTCCCACTCACATTCACAAAGAAGCTGTTGTTGTTGCAAGGGTCAGATGCTCGACACAGTTAGATACAAGGCACCAACAATAACTATCTTTCTTGTTTTCATTTTTTGAATGAAGAGTCCATTTCTTGAAGTTCCATCCATTCTTTTGTATGTCTCTTATTAGAGACAAATGGTTTCTTTTTTAGATGATCAATTTGCTTGGAGAAAAAAAAATTCCATTATTAGAATATTAAGGAATCAGCTTTCAATGAAGCACATAGTTACCCAATTCTAAACAGAATTAGTATTCCTTCACAAAGAAGATATGTGACAAAGGAAGAGTTTAAAAATGAATGTAGGGGCCAGCACTGTGGCATAGTGGGTAAAGCTGTTGCCTGTAAAGCTGGCATTAAGTATGGATCCTGGTTCGAGTCCCAGCTGCTCAACTTCCAATTCAACTCCCTGCTAATGCTCCTGGGAAAGCAGCAAAGGATGGCACAAGTGCTTGGGCCTCTTCACCTATGTGGGAGACCCTGAAGAAGCTCCTGTTTCCTCACTTTAGATTGGCTTAGCTCCAGCCATTGTGCCCACTTGGGAGTAAAACAGCAGGTAGAAGAGCTCTTTCTCTCTGTCTTTCCTTCTCTCTGTAACTCTGCTTTCAAATAAATACAACTTAAAAAAAAAAAGGAAATGAATGTTTGGGTGGGAATAAAAATGTCTTCCATAGTCAACCATCCTTGCATCTGTGAGAGATCCATTAGTAGTTATTCCTGTCACAAAAAATAATAATACATCAGCTACATATTTTAAGTGTATATTTTCTAATACCAATTATATATTAGTCCTGAGAAATTGCCAATGCACCCATCATCCTCACACTGGTTTCTTTTGATGGTTTCTAGAGAACAGCCAGAGCTTTGGATGCTCTTGCTTTTAGCTTTGTTGCTAAAAAATAAATAAATAAAAAAATAATAGAATACTCTTAGATTTTGCCTTTATTCTACAAGGAATTCACAACCTGTGTCTGAGCAGCCCCAGTTAATCACTCCCATAAATAAGCCTTTATAAGCTTTCTACATTCGTGGAAAATATGCTATTATAGATGAATTGTGTCTCACTTAAATGCACATTTTGAAGTCCTGACCCTAGAATCTCAGAGTGTGACTGGAGGCAAGACCTTTAAAGACACCAGTAAGGTGAGACCAGTTCAATTGGGCAGGTCCCCACCAGAAGGGATGAGGACACAAGTGTAAGCACGCATAGAGGGAAGACCACGTGAGGACAGAGGGAAGGCGGCCATCTGCAATCCAAGGAGAGACCTTAGGCTAAACCGAACACATTGACACCTTACTCTCGGACTTATGTCCTCTAGCACTATGAGAAAATAAATTTCTGTCCTTCAAGCTGCTATGTCTGTGGTATTTTGCAGCAGCAGCCTTAAGAAACTACTACAGATAGTTTCAGGAGCTGAGGGAATAAGGACTCAGAGCTATGTGCAATTCTGGAATAACTCACAGCAAAGAGGCCGAAGAGGTAGAACTTACACATTTTTACTGAATCAGATCTTTTAAAACACACACACACACACACACACACGCACAACCATTCCTGGGGCTGGCACCGTGGCTCACTTTGTTAATCCTCTGCCTGTGGCACTGACATCCCATATGGGCACCAGGTTCTAGTCCCGGTTGCCCCTCTTCCAGTCCAGCTCTCTTCTGTGGCCCGGGAGTGCAGTGGAGGATGGCCCAGGTGCTTGGGCCCTGCACCCGCGTGGGAGACCAGGAGGAAGAACCTGACACCTGGCTCTGGACTGGCACAGCTCCAGCCATAGCGGCCATATGGGGGGTGAACCAATGGAAGGAAGACCTTTCTCACTTTCTCTCTCTCACTGCTAACTCTCTCTGTCAAATTAAAAAAAAAAAAAAAGCCTACTGCCCACACAACCATTCCTTCCAAGATGTCCCCTGGGTCACAGCATGTTTTAATACCTATCTTATGGTATTCACTGAAGTGGCAATTGTGTTCTGAAGTCCCCCTTGTTACTTTGCTCATTCCTCATTGCCTGGATTACTTGAACCATTTTTCCTTATGAATGCACTGGTTTACCAATGCTCACTGACGGGTGTACTGGTGACAGACTTCTTGAAGACAGGGTACATGGTTCTTAAGTGAACAAGCTCTGACATCACTTCTCCTGGGTTTGAATCTCTGCTCTTTCATGGATCACCATCAGTAAGTTACTTAAGGCCTCTTCATCTCCATTACATCATCTGCAAACTGGGGAAAATAAAGAGGTTTCCCTCAGGATTTTTAAGGTGAAATGAAGTAATTTATGTAAATGCATATGAAATGTTCAGTAAAAGGAAACTAGAAAATAACAATGGCAATGGTCTCTCTGTAGGGGGAAGCTTTACCGCACTGAATGGAGCTGGAGACTTGGAAGTGAGGAATTACTTCTCTCTCCAACCCTCACTTTGATCACGAAGCTGCATTTACCATGCCCTGAACTTCCTTGACTACAACATCCTTTGTATTCTTCCATACATATGTTTTCTATCCCCCTCTGCTTTTCCTTCTTACTCTCACTTCCTTTCTTTCCTTCAATCTCCAATGGCAGCTCTATTTCCATCTCTAGCTCTAGCTCAAACCAATCTTTAGCACCCAATGGGGAAAGGAGTTGGATTATAGTTGTTTATTAATTTAGACTTTCATTTACATCAACAGAGAATTACTGAGCACCCACAGTGAGCAATGAGGAATGAACTGTCTTGATATGTTCTCTGTCAGCATGGGGCTTACTACCTAACAGATGCTATGGAGAATTTACAGTTTTTTCAAGTATGGTGAGAGCTGCAAAGAAGCACATGTTCTGTGGGTACACAGGGGAAGGGTAGTCTACTCCCTGACCTGAAATGTGGTTGTCCGTTAACTAAATGATGATGGGAGGGCAGAGTATTCCAGGTAGAATCAAAGTGCGAGCCAAGATCTTGAGACAATATAGAGAAGGATAATTCTGGGAAAGTAGAGGACAGCTTGTATGACCAAAACATAGAGAGTGTCGGGGGAAGAACAAAGATGCTTCAAAAGTCAGCAGGGCCCTGATCTAGCAAAACCCCACAGGTTCTGCTAATCATATATTTTTATCTTCATCTAAAGAAAAAGATATTATGAAATAGACCAATGTAATAATATGTAAGCTTTAAAAATGATACTTTGGGGGCTGGGGCTGTGGTGTAGCAGGTAAAGTTGCCACCTGCATTGCTGGCATCCCATATATTTGATGGGTAGAGTCCCGGCTGCTCCACTTCCAATCTAGCTCTCTGCTACAGTCTGGGAAATCAGTGGAAGATGGCCCAAGTCCTTGGGCCCCTGCACTTACTTGAGAGACCTGGAAGAAGCTCCAGGCTCCTGTCTTTGCATCTATGCAGCTATGCCCATTGCAGTCATTTGGGGAGTGACTCAGCAGATGGGAGACATCTCTGTCTCTCTCTTTCTCTCTCTCCCTCTGCCTTTGTAACTCTGCCTTTCAAATAAATAATCTTTAAAAAATGCTACTTTGGCTGCAATATAGGTATTGGGAAAGGGGAATTATGGGAAGCAGTGAACAATGTTCACAGGAAAGTCCATGATGAGATTATAAAAATAGTTGAGGTACAAGGTGCTTAAGACACTTTCAGGAGGAAGAATGGATAGATTTGAGGAATGATTAAATGATAACACATTTTGGTGATTGAATAAATATTCTAGAGTTATGGCTTGGTTCTGTTTGGGTGGTGGTGCTATTTACCAATACAGACAGGATGAACAAATGAGTGGTAGAGGATCAAATGACAAGCACATTGGGGCTTTCATAATCATGATGGGTCTTGCCCATAACATATATGTAGGTATGAAGCTCATAAGGTTTTGACTTAAGAGTACAGTTTTGGGAATAATTAGTATGGGAGAGGCAGCTACTACCTATGAAGTGCAGTCAATGTAGAGAATTTGGTACAGTGTCAAATAGTTACTATGAAGATAAAATTAAATGAGCAAACATACTTGGCTTAGTATGTGATATATGATTTGATACCTTCAAAATGGAATCCTGTTATAGTTATTTTTATTTATATTCTTGTCAAGTAGGTTAGTACTAATATCATTTCCATTTTACAGATCAGGAAGCATGAAGAGCTAATTTATTTGCTACAATCACACATTAGTATGATTTGGAGCCAGAATATATTCACATACATGTTGTCTAAATCTAGAGCCCACACACCAAATCTCTTTTTATTCTGCTTACAAATAATTAAACTATGTTTATTACCAGTGCAATATTTCTTTAAATATCAATTTTTCCTTGAAAAGAGGCTAATATATTACCAGGTCATCTTAAACAGGCTAATATATGATGCTGCTTTTGAAAAATTACACTCAGTAGGTAGAGTATTTTTTTAAGAATAGTATGAGTTTCCCATTATTCATGTTGCCAGTATGTGAAATCGTGTGCTTCTAGCAAAATATTACAGTTTTTATTACCGTAAAAGCCAGTTATAATGTGGGATATCATTGGCTTGAAAAACATTTTTGATTTAATATGGAAGAATCGCCTCTTAAAACAGAGAGAGAAATGAGCTACATCTTTGGCATATTCATTTTGAAGTTCATTGAGGGAGCACCTGGAGGGCTCCCAAGTCTCACGCATTTTCAATTGCAGTGAGTGGTGCTCAGTCCTGCATTGTCATTTGCAAGGTGCTTGTTTGAGTTATCTGGAGCTGAATTATGAGAGCAACTCCATCATTTAAGTGTTATTGCTCTTTCTGTCTGGCTCTTCACTCTCCTTCCCAGCCTCTGCTAAAGTACTTCAGTGGTTATAATGAAGTGAATCCAAATTACTAGTTTGAAACTAGCTAGAGACCTGACATGCACACAAAATATTCTTTTAACATTTCACTGAACTAATCATCCTAAAGGATTTACTCTGTCTTTCATAAGTTCTTACTCAGCCTTGATTGTTTTTTCTCACAGTGTGCCTTAGCACTATAGGTAAAAGAAGTTTCAAAATGTCACTCTGAATCTTTCAGTAAAGTTATCACACAATATTCTATTGTTAATATATTTAATGGATGATATTAAATTTATAGAAAATGCAAAATAAGATTAGCCATGAGCAATTCTCTGTGTTCATGTATATTTAAAAATATGCAATGTCATTTTCATGACTAATTACTAAACTCTGACAAATATACAGAGCAAGAAAAACAATGCATTGGATTTCAATGGACGGTTCTTTGGTAAAAATTATTAATTCACAGGAACTTTGGTGAAGATGTTAGAAAATATAACATTTTTAAGAGCTGTAGGATTATTCAAGCACAAGCTGTATATAGTATTGATGTTTTATGGATTCACATATGAGGCCTTATCAAAAAGTTTGTGAAAATGGAATTAAAAGATAAATTTGGGGCAAAACCTATACTTTTTTAAAAAACATGTAATTATTTATTTGAAAGGCAGAATTAGAGAAACATAGATACAGAGATAGAGAATGAGAGAGAAAACTTATATCTACTGGTTCACTCCCCAAATGGCTGCAAAGGCTGGGGCTGGAGATTCTTCTGGTCTTCCACATGGGTGCAGGTGCCCAAGAACTTGGGCCATCTTCTCCTGCTTTCCCGGGTGCATTAGCAGGGAACTGGACTCAAACTGGCACCCATATGGGATGCTGGCTTTGCAGGCGGCAGCTTAACTGGCCCCAGTCTTTTTTAATAATGTACATTTTCTGTGAATTTTCTGAATACCCTTCTTAGGTATAGACTTCAAAATTTTTCTGAAGACAAAATAAAAATTAGGTTTTAATTCCATTTTCCATGAACCATTTATTTATTTAAGAAACAGAGAGAGACATAAAGATTGACTGAGAGCTCCCATTTGTGGGTTTATTTCCCTAATACCTTCAAAATTGCAATGGCAGGATCTGGAGATTTAAGTAGTTCCCCCACATGGGGGGATGGGACCAGGTATTTAAGCCACCACTTGCTCCCCTGGATGCACATTAGCAGGAAGCCGGAGTGGAGAATAAAGCCAAGACTGGAACCCAGGCACATCAATATGGAACGTAGGTATCTTAACCACTGTGCCAAATGTCCGGGTTCCATGAACGATTTGGAGTACTTTAACATATCACTGCCATCCTTAACCCTTCAACTGCTTGGAAATCTTTCAGGACTGACGTGGTAGTCATAAAGACTAGATCACATGCTATGACTTATTCTGTTAAGCACCTGATCTTGTCCAACCTGCAGCCCTAAAGGAATATTCCCACTCAGTAAAGAATGCAGCTGGAAATTCATTGCCTTCCCTAAGAACACTTCCACATTAAGCAGTGGTAAATAGGTGTTTCTACCACATAGGCATATTTCCTAAAAAACAAGGGGGCCAGGGAGAATCTAAGCAAGCTTAGTGTTTTTCTTTTAAATTGATAATTCAAATAAACTAATTTTTCTCACTGAAAGGAAGGAAGAAGGAAGGAAACTGGGGCCAATGTTATTAGTCAAATGGTCGTCCCTCTACTTGAAGACTTGAGGAAAAGCAAATAAATATTCTCTTTAAGAAAGAACTTTGGGGCCAGCATTAAAACTTAATGGGTTAAGTCACTGCCTGCAGTACCAGAATGCCTTGGAAAGCAGCAGAAAATGACTCAAGTATTGGGTCCCTGCACTCATGTGGGAAACCCAGAAAAAACTCCTGGCCCCTGGCTCCTGGCTTTGGCAATGGCCTGGTCCTGTCCATTGCAACCATTTGGGGAGTGAATCAGCAGATGGAAGTCCCTCTCCACTCCTGTTTCTCCTTTTTCTCTGTAATTCTGCCTTTCAAATAAATAAAATAAATGTTTAAAAGCAAAGAAAGAAGTCTATATATGCTTGCAAAACAGAATGTCATAATCTTTATTTCTGTTACACTCAGTTAAATTGAAGAGAACCTTGAATACATACCTCCTTGAAGTTTGAATTCTAAAATAAGAAATGGCTCTACTTCTACGAAGCACTGATTAACAGTCTGTTAAACTTTGAACTTCGACAACAATTGCAAGGTGCTTTTTGATCTATATGCCATTTCTGGTTTGTCAATTGGCATCCATTCAATTATTACCAGCAGAATCTTATCTCTGCAGATTCCTCCATCAATACCCCGGGAAGATTTGCCATGCAACAAGAAAATTTATTCAGAGTTGATGATGATTGTGCATTTATTTGACAACAAATATGAGTTACATGGTTTAAAATATTTTTGATTCATTTTAGTTTGCTCTAAATTTTCAGGAAAGGTTAATACCACCATGAAACTGAATTGTGGTTATGTGATAGAAGGGAAAAGACAGGAATATAAAGAGAGAATGTGCCATACTCCAATACCACTACTGTCTTTCAGCAAAGCTTGGAAAAATGGTATAGTCTTGCCCAAGTGTAATTGAAATACATCAGTTCTGCATACATGTGAATGGGTAGGGAGAGAAACTTCTCGGTAGACAGGGAGAAATACTCAGTCTGTTAAGAGGTTTCAAGGGAAAACTGCTAAAGTCAACAAAACATACCTCTTTTCTCAATGTAGATTAGAGAAAATAATACTTTAAAGAGGGGAGCAAACCAATACTTGACTACAAATACATCATTAAGATACAAATACATAATATATATGACATTTTATTTTAACTGTAATTATTTAGTGTGCCTATTTACAGGGATTTGGAAAACTTTGGTGAACCAAGAGGACTGCCTAACAGAGTCTAAATAAAGAGAATAAAAGAGAGTAGGCAGAATTTATTGATTATCATGTGAAATGCATGTGAAACAGAAACAGAACCATGGCATCAAAAGTCAGCAATTTCCTTGACCTCTTTAATGAAATAAAAGATCTCAAAATAAGTGAAGATATTTTTTTCTTCCACAGACTTCTTCCTTGTGAAATTACCTAGGGGAAAAATGTTTCTATGGATAGTGCTGCCAGAAATCCTGGTTTAACACATGGTCCTGATTTCCAATATTGCTATCAGCAGTATCCCTTCCATTCTCAGTAGTCTTGACTAAGATGGCAAATGATCTATCTACTGCAAATACAATCATATCATTGTGATAAGGCTAAAGTTTGTATCAATGTACTGAGCAAGCTTTGCAGTTATAGGCTGCAGGTTTGGCCACTGCTACATATAAATGTGATCTTTGGTCCAAGAGACAATATAGGGGCCGGCGCTGTGGTGCAGTAGGTTAATCCTCTTCCTGGGGAGCCAGCATCCCCGTGTGGGCACCAGTTCTAGTCCTGGCTGCTCTTCTTCCCATCCAGCTCTCTGCTGTGGCCTGGGAAAGCAGTAGAAGATGACCCAAGTGCTTGGGCCCCTGCATGCATGTGGGAGACCAGGAAGAAGCACCTGGCTCCTGGCTCTGGATTGGAGCAGCTCTGGCTGTTGCAGCCATTTTGGGAGTGAGCCAATGGAAGGATGACCTTTCTCTCTGTCTCTCCATCTCACTGTCTGTAACTCTACCTCTCAAATAAATAAATAATCTTAAAAAAAAAGAGACAATATAATCTGATGTTAAAGTATGTTTCTTCATTGTGTTCATCTATCTGAAGCCCAAGATGAATTTTTGATTTCCCATATGGATTAGGAAACTTGTCTTGCTCAAGTTCCATTTGGGTTTCAGTGAGCACAAATCCAGGTTAAGATTGTCATTTGTGAACAGCGGCTAGGCCACAGGGGAAAGTATTATCTTAAATTCAGTCTTATTTCTGATGGCCAGGATCTGGAAAACCAAAATATTGTCATTTTAGAAGAGTAAGGCCTGATTCAAGGTGGACTCACTTTACTCATTTGTTATTACATGGCACAAATATTTGTGAAGCATTAGCACATACTAGGCTATGCTGGTGTTCAGCTGCATAACAGTGTTGGGCAAATGAATTTGTTACCTTAACATGATCCTGATTCCTCAGTGGGAAATTGAATGATTTTTTTTGGCAGCAAGGAATAGAGAAATGCAATTCCAAGAGTTATGTAGTTCAGTACTTTAAACCAGAAATCTTTTGGTCATGTCTTGCATGCTATTGAGGTCTGAATTATCAAAATTATATATGTTCACATACAGATTGATGAAGAAAAAAAAGTCAGATGGAACCCATGCGTGTGTTTCTCAAGAAACTGCAAAGAGGCAAGAAATATTTTGTTACTATCTTGAGTACCAACATCTGAAGACTCAAAATATAAAGAAAAGTGTCATCGGATATCCATTTCTGTTTTTCATCATGTAAATGTTACTTCATTTTTTCTACTCATGAAACAGAATCAAGCCTTCCTATTAAAGAACAATTTATTAGACAATGTTCTGGGTATGCACTTGGTGAGTGGTTCTTGCAGGCTTACCATAAACAAAACCTGACAGTGACAGAAGCATGTGGGATTCTGAAAGCCCCTTTTCTGAGTACATCTTCCTAATAGCACTCATTATCTAAAGCAAGTTTGACTTCACAGACATCAGCACATTCACTTTATAGCCCCTTCTGTAAACACACAAACTCCACTCTGCAAACTTTCAACTCACATTTTTATTTGTGCATCAGACACATCAAAGAACCAAAGATCTGTGAGAAAATTATGCACCAACGCAGAACTCCTTTTGTCAGAGCATAGAGCCTGAAGAAGTCTCCTTAGAGTCTTTAATCCACAGCTTTGTTCCTAAAATGAGTTACACTTTCCACTCCCTCTTCATCTTCATTTGTCACCTACTTTGTGGCTTTCCTACTTATTTGTTCTTTTCTAAATTCTGATGACACAAAGGAAAAGGAGAAAGAAATAATCTGTTAGAAAATGTAGAAATACTATCATGTCACAATATAAATAATTATTTGTAAATGCAACAAGGGAAAATATTCCACTATTACAGCTTTATATAGTTCACCTTTCAAGAAAAATAAGCTCTCCTAAAATGTAATCAAAGTATCACACATGAGGTAAGGACCAAATTTGACTAGGAAATAAAGCAATATAAAAAATACACATAACTTTAAAGCAATCAGAATGTAAGAGAAGGGCTAATGAGAAAATTGATCTGTTTGCATGGTAGAGAAAGTGAAAATAATTTCTTTCACATTACACAAATCAAGACTTCATAATTAGATTTGACACAAATACATTTAAAACACCATTGCATGGTGTATTAGGTTGTACTACAAAGCAATTTAAGTTGAAAATGTAAGTTCTGTTAAGAAGTAAATTCGCCAACCTCACCAACCTAATAAGAACAGGAAAATTTTCATGATAAAGAAAGAGAAATTAAATATCACTTTTTCTAATTTAAATATTCCATGTAGCCTGGAAGAACATAATAGTGGAAAAGTACTGAGGAAAGTATTTTATTTTATTGCATCAATTAAATGAAATGTGAATGTGAACAAACAAAATGCAGCTAAAAAACTATGGAGTGCATTTTTTCCTATTTTACCCCAAATTAATTGTGTTGTACATTAAGTAAGTACTAGTTTGTTCCAAACAGTGAAGAAGGAAGCTGGTGACTTTTTGACAACTTTGTAATATCAATTACTTGTATATTTATTATTCTGAAATCTAGTAATCATTTTGGGGAAGAAAAGGATATACACAGTTAAGTTTGAGAGAATACTGAAGATGTCAATAAAAAGTAAACACTCTGGTCTTATACCTGGTTCTAATAGAAAAACAAACATATATATGCATATATTATTTTGCATTCATTTCAGAGTGATAGCCAAAATAAGGTGTATTTTTTATTTATATCAGAGCTATTAAAATTGCTCAAAAGAGAAGGAATTTATTTAGTGTCTCTTATATGTTTTTCCTGAAAATGTCAAACAGTAATGAATTCATTTTCTCTCAAAACTAAATTCACTCACCAGTCTCTCATTTAAGATAACTAGCTGGACTATTTCAGCCTTTCTCTTTTACAGCGAATTTGAGGCTAAACATTGTCAGTAAAGGGGAAGAAAGCAGGGGCTTATTTTTCTAAGACTAAGTGCTGTTTTTGCTGTGTATTGTTATTGCTGCATGGATTGCCAGCAAAGTTCATGTTGAACATTCAACTGCAAGTGTGTGGTTCATCAGTTACCTTGCAGCCAATGGTCACATCCCTGAAATTACCTTGCCCTGGCCCTCTTGATACCTGCACTGCACAATCTAGATTGCACACAATCTCACAGTACATAAATTTTCTGTATGGCCACACGTCAGCCTTAGCTTGAGTGTGTCTTACAGGGTTGTCTTTCTCAGCCTTCCCAGTATAGAATGAGGGCTCTTAGCTTCCTACAGATAGTGGCTTGCTGGCTTGGTGTGTGTACTCACCAAGTTTGTCTTGCCCATGATCTAGAAGCCAGTTTCCTCCTTGCGCAGCAGATCTGATCCAGAGCTAGCCTGAGCAACCCAGTAAATGGCCTGGCACTCATTATGCTGCAACTATAATTTTCAATAAGATCAGAGTTCCCTTGGTGATGGGGCTTTCCTTCTAAATTTGTCCTTTCTGAAGTACTTTCTCTCCACTCTGGTGTCCTACAAACTTCCTCTCACATTTTTACAGAAACTCTATATCACAGATCCCCAAGATCATGTCTAGTTTCTGTGATTACACAGAAGTATTCCCTAAGCAAAAGGATGTACCATAGCAAGAATTAATTATAAGAAAAGGAAAATCAACAAAAGAAAAAAGGTGCACTGAACCAGGCTCAAAGTAACATGATTCTTCAGACTGAGTCAGATAGCAACCGATTCTTCCTTATCGAAAAGTATCAACCAGTGGCACCAATACCATGGTGTGGCAAGTAAAGCCTGTGGCACCAGCATCCCGAATGGGCACCGGTTTGAGTTCTGGCTGCTCCACTTCCGATCCTGCTCCCTACTAATGTGCCTGGAAAGCAGCAGAAGATAGAAGATAGCCCAAATGCTTGGGCCTCTATACCCATGTGAGAGACACAGAAGAAACTCTTGGCGCCCTGGCTTTGGATCAGCCCAGCCCCGGCCATTGCAGCCACTGCAGCCATTTGGGGAGTGAACCAGCTGTTGGAAGATTCGATTCTCTCTATTCAAGTAAAGAAATAAATCTTTAAAAAAATCACCCAATGGGAGGTATCACCCATTAGGTGAGCTCATTAGAAACTCAGCTGCCAGGGTTTCACCAGAGGCTGGTCACATAGACTTTGTCTGCTGAGTACTTATCAAAATTCCAGATGTCCAGAAAGAAATCATGTGTCAGCACTAAGCATATTATTTACATACATAGCTTAGGCACGCTGAGCCATTCTGATCAGGTAATGATGGAAATCCTTCCGAAATTCAAATTCCCACTAGCCAGCCAAAGGTTAACTTAGAAACAGCTTTTTCAAAGAATATGCATTAGAAATATGTTGTATTAATTCAGTTCTGTGCTCCTAGCATAGTTTAATAATTCTTTCTTTTAAGCTTTCTCGAAATTACTGTGTGATTTCTGTGTCTTATCTGGATTTAGACCAATTTGTTATATATGTTATTTCTTGGGACATGTTGAACTTTTTCAATGTGACACTAACTTCTAATCTCTTAAGAAGATATTTTAAAAATTAATTTTGTGGAAATCTACATATTATCAGCAGTTAGGCTCATGACACCAAACAACAATTCAATTTAGACAATTTAGAAAAAGAAATCTGGACAGCTGGTAGCTAGGTTTATGTCTATACCCAAAAGTCATTTTAGACTAGAGCAAGTAAAAAAAGGAACAAGTGTGAAGTCTGTGAAACATGTTCTTGTTTTTATGTAAAAAACTTTTCTTTCAACTATTTTGCTATATTTTGAATATTCAAATTATTTTAAAATATTCATTAAAGAAAAGGATTGGCTACTTTAAAATTCCATGAGCTTAAAAATGGGAAATGAGAAAAAGCTAAAACTGGAGATAGCAGAAGCAAAATGAATTTTACACATGTCCTAAGAAGCAGGTGGGGAATTGAAAAAGCAAAGCGATCATGCAGGAAGCTCATTCTGGGTGCTTTCTGATAAGGCAAAACTGCCATCAAGCCAGGGTAGGACCCAGGCTGCTAGCATTTGAGTTGTATTTATTTGGCTCCAGTAAATGCTAACAAGAAAAACTGAGTTAAAAGGGGTCATTTTTGTCTGTGGATTTCAGATTCCTTGAATTCTTGGAAAGCAAAACAGAAGAATCCCTGACTAGAGGCTTTCTGGTAAGTACCTATGAAAGGCTGTGATTCCTATACATAACAGGATGGAGAGAGACTAGTATAAGCCTCTCTGGTGTTGCAGAGTAGATAAAAGGTAGAGGCCATCTGTCATCAAAATTCCCCCAAGAAAGTAACATCTAGTTGGACTCTGCTGGCAAAGAATCAAATAATTTCAAAGGGTAAATATCCTATGCTTTAAAAGTCAGCCAGTCTAACCCTATACTTCTACAGAGAGGAAACTGAATTCAGGAGAGATTAAGTAATATGCCAAAGGATGACAGCTAGTTAGAGGCACATTCTAGTTAGTAGCAGGCTGGCAGAAACAGAGTTCAGAGCTATAAGGCACTACACACAAATGCAGCACTTTTCATAGATCACACCAACATGTCTCAGAGAAGAGACAACATTAGAGATATGTGTGACTCTTTGCACAGGAAAGCTGAACATGAAAACAAAGTGGTTGGTATGACAGAGGGGTTTGTGTTAAAATCATGAAATACTTGACACATTAGGGAGGGCCTCGTTTTGGATTTTAGACTTCATGATCTTTCTATGCCATGTATCGATTTTATCAAATGTTTTAGAGGTAATTTTAATTGTAACTCTCTGATGATGTACAGGGTGGGTCTTTTTAAAATAAATAACTCGATGTGTTTGAGAGGATTTTGTCCTTCACTATTTAAACTTCTCACATGAAAACTAATGTATTAAATGCCTCACATCAGTAGGTCGGTCTGACATTCAGCAAGACTTCTCATTCCACTATGGTTTGCACTTTGTGACAGCCTGTATAATCACCATTCTTGTTATCTTAGAGCAGTAATTTAATTATGGCTTAAATGTTTAGTTCAATTGCCAAATTAAAAATTCACATGGTCTTGAGGTAGTCCAGTTTTTTTTCCTGAGTTGTGTAGTGACCTCATTTAACATTTAGAAACACATTTTATCCAATGAAAATTATTTCCCCAAACAACATGGCTTACCTTGCTTATCTTCATAAATGGAGAATTGAAATGTTATCCACATTTTTGGTCAATTCTGAGGGTAAGAAAGATCACCCTTTTGGTTAGGCATGTGTGTTTTCATGCAAATTTCTCACAACCATTTTTAATCCTTTCCTCTAAAATAAAAAAAAAAATAAGATATTGAGCCAAATTCATCTCATAAATCAATGAAGAACTCAACAATATGTTTCTTGCTTTGGTAGCATAACTAGTAGTAATAATTAATATATGATTTTGATGTTTTAAACAATGTTTCCACAGTTACTGAAACTCTTGAAGCATATCTCTCACAAACAGCTGTAGAATTAGAGTCTCTTATTATTTCTCTGTAGTTAATTTTATGAACATGAGTGCTCGTCAACTTTTTTCTATAGATTGCACTTGTTAGATCTTAATGTTCGTTAAATCCTAATTATCATGCATTAGCTCTTCTAATTCAATTTTTGTATTCGCGTGTTTTATAAGAGCTATTTGTGTTCATTCAAAAAGCCTAGATGAAAGTAACCATTAAGGGTCAGAAAACTCATCTAGCTGGTATCAATGTGATGTATAGGGAAGTTTGGGGAAGAAACCCAAAAGCATAATCTTCTATTATACACAAAAAGTATTTTACTGGATCTTCTAATTTGTGCTCATTTAGCATGTTTACTTAATGAAATACAATCTCTTCACAAAATTCAGCTCATATTCTCTGGATTAACACAAAGATAAGAAAAAAAGCTTTGAAAAGACCATAACGAATATATTAATATCCTGGAAATTGTGTCCATAGTTGATACTTCAAAATAACTTATGCAAAATGGAAGCAAGGTTGATTTTTTTGTAAAATATCTCATATTGTCCTTTGGTCTTTCTCAAAACAGAGAAACTGAATGATCTGAGAGTATATCTCATTGGAAGTCCACATAAAGGCATGCTAGGAGAGCTATATGAGGAAAGATAGGATCTATTTGATTTCCACAATTGGAATCCACTACTGAAGATAAAAATAAGTATTCAAAAAATTAAGAAACATTCAATTCTGAATTAAATTTGAACAGTACTCTTGGAAATACTGAGATAAGTAGATATTAGTTTGTTGCTAAAACCTCTACAAGTATATGGAAATAGGTCTTCCAGACACAGAGAAACATGTTTCATTTGAATAACAGCAAAACAAACTATGGAAATAAAGTGATTTAGAGTAGTACAGCAAGGGTGGATGAAGGAGCCTACTGCTGAGGCAGAAAGACTCTATCTTGGTGGAGGAACCAACACTAACCCCAGGGACATCTAAAGAACCAGTAAGACACTGAGGAGCATGATTTGAAACTGCTAGATAGAAATATTGCAGTGTATCTTGCATTTTTATAATTTCTTAGAGATTCATAAACCTAATGTAAACATTATTTAACAAGAGATTAAAACCATGGCATTAGCAATGGCACTAACATTAATAAAACCCAAATATAGTCCTCATGTAACTTACAATTTAGTTGGAATATCTTAAAGAGTCCAATGTTGCAAGTTCAGTGTGTGAAATGCTATAGAAGATACCAATACAGGGTGTGGGGTGAGTGAACGCAGCAGGAAGAGATGGAAAATTTCACGGAAGATAAAACCTATCGAGTGACTCTCAGAAGAGTAGCATGAGTTAGGACCCAGAGTGTAGATGGGGAAAGAGAATTCTAAAAATATAAACCCTCTAGCATTCCAATTAGTAATTACTTGATGATATGAATCTTTTCACATTCTCCAAGGGCCAGATAAAATTTCATCTTCTCTTAGATGTGTTCCACTTTTGGGGAGATCCATGTTGAGTTATATAGTCCAGAATGTCATGGGTAGAATGAACCATAACCACAGAATAATTTATTTGTGTGGGAATTCATAATTTTAATCTATTTTCATATCTTTATCTAATTAGCTCTAAAGTAATAATAGACAAATAATTATTTCTGGTCAAATAATTGTTTCACATATCTTAAAACTGCACAGAAAATCAAATGGTCCCTGTGTATTGCAGAAGTTTCTAATGTTTTAGAGATTTGTATTACTGATTTCAACAGGCAGGTTCTCTGGAGAGTGAATAAATACCTACACAAAATGAAAGAAAACCTTAGAAAGGAAAATTTGATTTCTAAATAACTGATTCTTTCAATGCTTAAACATTTGACCTTGAAGAATGAAGGATTGAAAAAAAAAACATGAACAATAGGGCACAGACGATTTTTCTTAATAATAAAAGATAAAGAATCAAGAACAGATTTTGCAAGTACATATGAATTCAGGCTAACCCAATTTAAGAACTGTTAGAAACAATGCAAAGAATTACAATCTGTAAAAAGCAAAAGTAAACACCATAGATAAGAACATTAATAAATAAAGAGAAAAAAATGAGAACTGCATATACAGAGGAAAGAGAGTACATAAACCTTTAAGATACTAAGTTAGAAAATTATCTTTTAAAAGCATTATCTGCTGAAAGTATTATACTCACATAATAATCATAGTTATCTTAAAAATACTGCTGTATTAATGTTGACTTATTGTCTATACATTTTCCTTCAAGCTGACAGAAATATATGGGTTACAGACTGTGGAGAACTCAGAGTATTACTTCTTGATGTTCATTGGTGTCTAGTTGATTTATTTGTGAACACTATGCTGTGTCTATCCTGATGGCATGTGCTATAATGATCAATGTGAATGAGATGTATTTCCTGACCGAGCCAATATAAAAAGCATGAAAGTGAAACATTGCAAAAGGGTAAAGTCATTTTTACTTCTGTTTGGAAAAAAACGTACTTTACTGCCTTTGACCTTTTAGTGTTTTCTTGTGGTTAGCTATCATATCATCCAATTCTATAAAAACAATCATTTTTAAAGTGGCATAAAATAAACCAAGATATCAGGTAGAGAATGAAAGTATTCAGTATCACTTAATGTATAACAGAAGAAGAAAATTTGCAAATCATCTGTTACAATGTATTTTTGTTTAACGTTTTCCTTACCTCAAGATTTAAATACATTTTAAAGTGCTTTTTCTTAATTTTTGTCATATGTCTGAATTTCTATTATTGTCATGAACTCTTTTTAGATATCATACAGGACTAAATACCCAGAGAGTGATTTAATCCTGCATGGGGTTTATTATAATTTAGATAATCATGAAATTATAGAAATTAAAGGATATTCATATTTGTTAAGTTTTGATTATTGGTCAGATATCTTTTTTTTAAAAAAAGATTCATTTATTTATTTGAAGGGCAGAGTTACAGAGAGACAGAGGCAGAGAGAGAGAGAGGTCTTCCATCCTCTGGTTCACTGCCCTGATGGATGCAATGGCTGGAGCTGTGGTGATCTGAAACCAGGATCCAGGAGCTTCTTCTGGGTCCCCCACCCGGGTGCAGAATCCCAAGGACTTGGGCCATCCTCCACTGCTTTCCCAGGCCACAGCAGATAGCTGAGTCAGAAGTGGAGCAGCCGTGACTGGAACCAGTCCCCATCTAGGATGACGGCACTGCAGGCAGTGGCTTTACCTGCTACACCTCAGCACTGGCCCTAAATATCTTATCTACATTATTCTATGTAAATCTCAAATTACTGTGTCTTAAAAAGAGATTCTTGACTCAAGTTAAAACTCTAATAAATGGTTTAATGAGTTTTTTTTTTTTTTTTTTTTTTTTTTTTACAGGCAGAGTGGACAGTGAGAGAGAGAGACAGAAAGAAAGGTCTTCCTTTTCAGTTGGTTCACCCCACAATGGCTGCTGCAGCTGGCACACTGCGGCTGGCGCACCAGGAGCCAGGTGCTTCTCCTGGTCTCCCACGTGGGTGCAGAGCCTAGAACCCGGTGTGCCGGCGCCGGAGGAGGAGGATTAGCCTGTTGAGCCACGGCACCTGCCTAATGAGGTCTTTCTAATTCTTGAATCCCTCATCCTTCCAAATATTATATCCTTCATATATAGATATACAGATAATAGATAAACATTATCATATAGGTTAATTATAGATGATAGATAGATCTATGATAGATATCCTTCCAAATCCTTCAATCAATCAATATCTCCCTAAGAGGAAACCTATGGGACACCCAGTCACAATTTCCTTGTTTCAGGAAATTGAAAGGCTAATAGATGATGTGTGGGATCCAAGTTCAATGAGAGGGATTTTGTGAGAGCCAGAATTGAGGACATGTTTCCTCATCTTTTCTTTTTATTTTTTTCTTTCTCTTTTTAGGGAACTTTCCATTACATCAGGCTGTTTCTGTATCTTTACTATAGTTAATTTTTCCTATTCAACTTGACATGCTAATGTGTGCTTTTCTGAGGTGTGAAAATAACAGACCTTCTATCACTTGGCTAACATTAATAACGACCCCAGATATTTATGGTTCAGTGATTCTTAACCCTAGCAGTGTTCTAAAATCAATCATTACATATAATTATTGTAAATATAAATATTTAAATGTCACCCTTGGAATTTCTGACTTAGTTGGCCTAGTTTGAAGCCCTAGAATCCATATTTTAATGAATTTCTATAGACATCAATAGCAGCATCAATAAAATTAGCTAACACACAATCAGGTAACAAAGGTTTCCAAGTGTCAGAAATTAAGTCCTTTAAACCTGATAACCCATTTCGTCCTCTGAACAACGACATTATGTGAGTACTGTTACACAGAAGTCTTCAGAAGAAGAAAGATTGAGAGAGTTAGATGGCATCACAAGATCACACAGCAGACAGGGGAGAAGCTGGAGTTATTCGTCATGATCAGGCAGCTTAAGAGATGCACTTCTAAATCTCACTGTAATTCATTGGGAAGAAAAAGTATTTTTAGATTAATGGTATCTTAATATTATGTCTATTCACATATTAAATAAAAATATAGAAAAATCTCTTTTCTACTCACAACATAAGGAAAGACTTAATATGCTACTCCAGGTGCAATGTTTTTGTCTTTGTCTTTGTTTGTGTTTTTCATCATCATTATGAATATAGTTCAAAAGATTCTTGGGAAAATAAAAATTAAAGGATATGTTACTGTTTTGTGAAAAACCATTTTTAAATTCATCCATATTTTTTCCAAAGTGCATATCTCCCATGAACATTTTTTTAATTTTTATTTAATGAATATAAATTTCCAAAGTACACCTTATGGATTACAATGGCTTCCCCCCCATAATGAACCTCCCACCCGCAACCCTCCCCTTTCCCACTCCCTCTCCCCTTCCATTCACATCAAGATTCATTTTCGATTCTCTTTATATATAGAAGATCAGTTTAGCATGCATTAAGTAAAGATTTCAACAGTTTGCTCCCACACAGAAACATAAAGTGAAAAATACTGTTTGAATACTAGTTATAGCATCAAATCTCAATGTACAGCACACTAAGGACAAAGATCCTACATGAGGAGTAAGTGCACAGTGACTCCTGTTGTTGACTTAACAAATTGACACTCTTGTTTATGGCGTCAGTAATCTCCCTAGGCTCTTGTCATGAGCTGCCAAGGCTATGGAAGCCTTTTGAGTTCACCGACTCTGATCATATTCAGACAAGGCCATGGTCAAAGTGGAAGTTCTCTCCTCCCTTCAGAGAAAGGCACCTCCTTCTCTGATGACCCATTCTTTCCACTGGGATCTCACTCACAGAGATCTTTCATTTAGGTTTTTTTTTTTTTTTTTTTTTTTTTTTTTTTTTTTTTTTTTTTTTTTTTTTTTTCCCCCAGAGTGTCTTGGCTTTCCATGCCTGAAATACTCTCATGGGCTTTTCAGCCAGATCCGCATGCCTTAAGGGCTGATTCTGAGGCCAGAGTGCTGTTTAGGACATCTGCCATTCTATGGGTCTGCTGTGTATCTCACTTCCCATGTTGGATCATTCTCTCCCTTTTTGATTCTATCAGCTAGTATTTGCAGACACTAGTCTTGTTTATGTGATCCCTTTGGTTCTTAGTCCTATCATTATGATCAATTGTGAACAGAAATTGATCACTGGGACTAGTGAGATGCCATTGGTACATGCCACCTTGATGGGATTGAATTGGAATCCCCTGGTATGTTTCCAACTCTACCGTTTGAGGTAAGTCAGCTTGAGCATGTCCCGAATTGCACATCTCTTCCCTCTCTTATTCCCACTCTTACATTTAACAGTGATCACTTTTCAGTTAAGTTTCAGCACTTAAGAATAACTGTGTATTGATTACAGTATTCAACCAAAAGTATTAAGTAGAACAAACAAACAAAAAATACTAAGAGGGATGACATATTAAGTTGTTCATCAACAATCAGGGCGAGGGCTGATCAAGTCACCGTTTCTCCTAGTGTTCATTTCACATTAACAGGTTTCCTTTTTGGTGCTCAGTTAGTTGTCACCTATCAGGGAGAACAAGTGGTATTTGTCCCTTTGGGATTGGCTTATTTCACTCACCATAATGTTTTCCAAATTCCTAACAGGGATCACTTTTCAGTTAAATTTAAACACCTAAGAATAATTGTGTGTTTAGAAACCTCTTCCTTGTATGAAAATTTTTGCACCAAATTAAATTTGTCTTTCTAATGCACTTTTATTTTTAAATTAAATTATTTTTAAATTTATTTGAATGCAGGCACTGCAGCTCACTAGGCTACTCCTCCGCCTTGCGGCGCCAGCACACTGGGTTCTAGTCCCGGTCGGGGCACCAGATTCTGTCCCGGTTGCCCCTCTTCCAGGCCAGCTCTCTGCTGTGGCCAGGGAGTGCAGTGGAGGATGGCCCAAGTCCTTGGGCCCTGCACCCCATCAGAGACCAGGATAAGTACTTGGCTCCTTCCATCGGATCAGCGCGGTGCGCCAGCCACAGCGCACCGGCCGTGGCAGCCATTGGAGGGTGAACCAATGGCAAAGGAAGAACTTTCTCTCTGTCTCTCTCTCTCACTGTCCACTCTGCCTGTCAATAAATAAATAAATAAAATAAAAAAATTTATTTGAAAGTTAGTGAGGCAGTGAGAGAGACAGAAATCTTCCACCCATATAAGATTTTCACGGTTTACTTCCTAGAAGTTTTCTTTTTAAAATTAATTTATTTATTTGAAAGGTAGAACAAGAGAGAGAGAAAGAGAGAGAGTTTATCCATCCACTGGTTCACTCCCCAAATGGCTGCAACTTCCATGGCTGGGCCAGGTTGAAGCCAATTCCTAGGACCTGGATCCAGGTCTCCCAGATGAGTGGCAGGGGCCTAGGTGCTGGAGTCATTTTCTGCTACTTCCCCGGATGTATTAGCAGGGAACTGGATTGGAAACATAGCAGCTAGGACTCAAACCAGAGCTCTGCTATGGGATGTGTTTTCATTGCAGGTTACTGTTTAACCTGCTGTGCCACATTGCTGCCCACCACTAACCATTCCCAAAAGTGTGCAATAGCTGAGACTTGACCAGCCTGAAGCCAGAAGCCAGGAGTCCTTCCAGGTCTCCCACAAGGGTGGCATGGACCGAAATACTCAAGGCATCATGGCTGCCTCCCCTTGTCTGCATAAATAGGAAACTGGAGTAAGGAGCCACTGCACCCAGGTACTCTAGTATGGAGTGGGTATGTCTGAACCACTAGGCTAAAGGCCCCCATTTCCCACAAAAGTTTTGAAATACACAAATACTATTGAGTCTTAGCAATATTGGTTTTCTCTATGTACTGTATTATATATAACTCTCAGTTGAAAGCAACAGAAGCTATATTTGGTTCAAAAATGCAGAAAGAGTTCATTAGACATATATAGAGAAGTGCAGAGAATTGTGAGAAGGGAGGCTAAAAGTTTAAATTCCTAAAACAGTGGACTTAAAACTTCAGCAACCACCTGAGCTAAAAATGGGCTAGAGATGCTGTTGCCTCTATTGTACTCTACTTTCAAGAACTTAATTTGACTGCAATCAAAACTCTTGTCAACAATGTTACCAGTCTACTGAAGTTAAAACAGCAACTACTGCCAATCCCAGGAATCCAATGTCAAATTTACCACCTGTCTATGAAGTGGACCTACACAGAGCGCATTTACCCAGTAGTATTGCTGCTAAATAATGATTCATCTGAGCAAGCACAATTGATGGAATGCTTATTCATGGTCTTTTGCACCATGCTAAACAGGGGTAAATATGTGTATAATTTTTGGGCTTCTGCCTTGAGAAAGTAGAATTTCCAAAGCAAGCAATTCAGAAAACATGGCAAGGATTTTGAAAAGATGCTAAGAATCTAGAAAAATCTGTGGAGTAAGAAAGGATTTAGAAAAAGATGAGTTTCAGCCGGCGCCACGGCTCACTAGGCTAATCCTCCGCCTAGCGGCGCAGGCACACCGGGTTCTAGTCCCGGTTGGGGCGCCGGATTCTGTCCCGGTTGCCCCTCTTCCAGGCCAGCTCTCTGCTGTGGCCAGGGAGTGCAGTGGAGGATGGCCCAGGTGCTTGGGCCCTGCACCCCATGGGAGACCAGGAAAAGCACCTGGCTCTTGGCTCCTGCCATCGGATCACCGCGGTGCGCCAGCCACAGCGCGCCGGCCACGGCGGTCATTGGAGGGTGAACCAACGGCAAAGGAAGACCTTTCTCTCTGTCTCTCTCTCTCACTGTCCACTCTGCCTGTCAAAAAATAAAAAAAAAAATTAAAGAAAAAAGATGAGTTTCATGCAGAAAAGCATTTGAAATTTGAAATTCAAAAGTTAAGGCTATATATACAATTTATAATTAAATATTTTTTCTTAAGATTTATTTTTTTATTTATTTGTTTGAAAGTCAGGGTTAAAGAGAGAGGGAAGGACAGAGAGAGAGAGAGAGAGAGGATCTCCCATCCACTGATGGCGTCCTGATGACCATCTCCCATCCTGATGGTGTCATCTATGAGGATTGGGCCAGTGAAGCCAGGATCCAAAAGCTTTTTCCAGGTCTCTCCCATGGGTAGCAGATGCCAAACACTTGGGCCATCTTCTGATGCGTTCCCAGGCTATAGCAAAGAGATGGACCGAAAGTGCAGCATTGAGAACATGAACCGGCATGTGGGGTGCTTGTGATGCAGGCAGTGGCTTTACCCACTATACCACAACACCAGGTCCTTATGTAAATGTTTGAAATGTACTTATATTTTTCTGCCTTCACAAAAAAGTGAGGGTAGAAAAGTCTGACCAAGTTATATGTATCTATATATTATATTATCTACATCTGATAGTTTGTTATATATTTATAGTCTACCTACATTTGGCTACCCAGTATTTGCTATTTCACAGACTTTAAGAATGAGGTCATGTTCCTTCCTGTTGAAGTTTATTATATGCAGGATCTACCTTACCTTCTTTGTCAGATTTGCCTGGTCCATTTACCTTTGGGTCATGGGCTTCTGTTAAACTGAGAGAGTCTGATGCACATATGCTTCTTTCGCTTCATCTCCCAGCACATTGGCTGGCTGGACATTCCTGGGGTGAGAGACCAGCAGCAGGACAATCTTCTGAAAGTTGTATTTGGCTCAAGAAAATATAACTATTTCTTATTGTATAAAATATTTACTTTGTGGCAAAACATGGCTACGTGAACACTTTACACTTGTTATGTTTGTATCTAAAATAGGGGCAGGTGTTTGACCTGATATCAGTTGGGATGAGCACATCCCATGTGGAAGTGCCTGGTTTGGGTCCTGACTCTGCTACAGATCCCAGCTTCCAGCTAATGTACACCTTATGAGGTAGCAGTGATGATGTCTGGGTCTCTGCCAGCAACTTGGAACATCTGGATTCCTAACATCCACCGCCCTAGCCCTAACTGTTGTAGCCCTATGGAGGGTGAACCAGTGGATGGCAGTTTTCTCTCTACCTCTCTCTCTCTGTCTCTGTCTCCCTCTCTCTGTTCCTCTGCCTCTCAAATAATTTAAAAATTAAATAAATAGCAATTAATTTTTAAAAATAAGAGAATAAAGCAAAAATATTAATTTAGAAATGAAATATTTTCAAAATTAAATGTATACCTACATATATATTTTCTAATTTTAAGTAATGTCCTAATTTTGTCGTTTCTTTATATATTAGTACATTGCAAGAAATCTATATTTGAAATTAATTTGAGAATATTCTTTTATAATTATTCAAGTAAATAATGAATATAATTTAGTATAGGTGAATTAGGTCAGAGGTTATGAAGAGAAATTAATAACTTCTATGCAGATGATACTTTATAATACAGTTTATCTAGGGAATATTTCAGATTAGATGTTTTAATTGCTCTGGAGGTCTGAAACAGCATTAAAATACATTTCTTGATTATAAAGTAATTACATTTTTTCAGCACCATGGAAACACTTTACTGAAAACATCAAAATGAGAGGGAATTGAAATGTTTATAACAAGTACCCAAGTATTTCTGAATTATCAAAAGGCAATCACTGACTCCAAATAATCAACTGAAAAAATCAGAATATTTATGAATAATATAATAAATAAGTAAACAATTATTGAGATGATAGCTTTTATAAAAAACTATGTGAGGATACATATTTTATAGCAATAAAAAGATAATATGTACTAAACTATTTCAAAGACATGTTTCACTAATAAATTGAAAAGCCCTAGAGTGAAAACCAAGCCTCCACCTGCCCTGAAGCACTTGATGATGTCACGTAAACTGGAAGTGAAATTCCCTGGTTTATAGTAGCAGGAAATACATGGTTTTTATCTTGATTTTAGTATATAGATTTTATGTTTCTATCAATGGATAGCCATGGAAAAATTTAAACAGAAAATGAGTATCTGCATTTAAATGATCTTGTTGTCTATACTAGGGAAACAGAAAACAAAATTCACCTGGATGAGTGAATATAGGAATATCAAGTAAAAACCTGTCCTCAGGGGTGGGTGTGCAGTCTAACAGTTAAGATTCTGTGCCAGTTAAGAGATCCACATCCCACATCAGAGCAGAGCAGTTCTAGTCCCGGCTCTGACTCCAGATTCCAGCTTTCTGCTAAGGTAGACATTGCAAAGCAGCAGAATTGGCTCAATCAATTGAGTTCTTGCACGCATATGGGAGACCTGGATTGCTTTCCTCATTCCCAGCTTCAGCTCTGGCCAAGGCAGGCTTAACCCCTGTTGTAGTCATTTGGGGAGTGAGTCAGCAGATGGGGACTCTTTCTCTTTCTCTCTGTTTCTTAAGCATACACACACACACACATACACACACACTAACAAAACCCAATCTACTGCATTTCAGTTCCAGAAATCAAACGTAGAGCATGGGGAATATAATTAATAATAATGTATTATATATTTAATATTTGATAAGAGCACCGATCTCAAATATTCTCACCATTAAAATGGGTAAGCACATAAGTTGAGAGATATATTAGCTTGATTATGGTGATCATTTCGTAATTTATCTGTATATCAAATCTTCATATTGCACACCTTAATTATATATAATTTTCATATCTCAAGGATTCCTCACTAAACCTAAGGGAAAAAAACCTACCATAAACTCCCTTGTTCAGAAAAGTTCCAAATAATTTATGCAAATATTCTGTCCCCCAGAAATGGAACAAAATTCTCCACCACCTCTTAAGTATGGAATTTGCATTCTGACTTCCTTTAATGGAAAGAGAGAAAAAGTAAGTTTACAGTACAGAATCTTGACAAATACTGTCTAAACTAGATAACCCAGTTTATTGTCAACAGTGATCAGTCATCTTTAGAGCATGCACCTTTAATGAAATGTGATAAGAATAGTAATTTACTTCCATAGTCTTTTTTCCCAGAAGCCAATAATTCCTATGAAATCCTTAGAAAACCATCACTTACATCAACTTACACATATAGGACCAGTACTCCACCAAATTTTCAATGTTATTAAAAACAAGGAAAGGACCGAGAAACTCACACAGTGACAAAGAATAGTGATAGAGATTTAGATAAGTCGATGACAGAGTAGAATGAGAAATTCTGGTTGTAAGAAAGGAACATCTGGGTACTTGATGGAGCCATGACGTTCAGTTAACATTAATTGGAAACATGCTTTGACTTTAACCAATGCTTGTTAGTTTAGGGAAATAGGAACTCTTACAACATAGCCAATTCATGCAGTTGAAAGAAAATTGGGCAATGTATTTGAAAATAATGAACTCATTTACCTAGAATTATTCCTGATAAATGCATACCCTGACAACTTGTATGCTAAATGAATATTAAGGTGAAAAGTAGGAATATGAAGAAGTCAATTAGTGGGCCAAGCTAATTAATTTCTTATTGTTGGTCATGATAAGACAGATTGGGAAAAGGAAATAACATTAAAATGTTAAAAAAAATCAAAGTAGAATGGAAATTGATAGAAAAGAAGGAAAAATTTGGCTGAACTTATTTTATAACACACAAGTTATTTGGTAAATACTCATATACTTTTAATGGATTTCCCTTTTAAAGAAATGACTTTAAATTTAGTTATTTAATCAGAGTGTAATGTACCCATGGGTTAACATCCTCTTGGAGCAGGACTCAGCATATGCCTATGCCCACCTCTGGGATCTAATTATTAAAAGATAACCTCAGAGGTGAAGCATACTGGACTTGCTCTCTAGCCCTCAAATATACTCTAAGACTTCTGGTTCTCTGAGTACAGAGAAGAATCTCTGTCATCTTTTTCTCCCTAAATTTTAGTAAAAAGAAAATTCTAATAAAGTCTAAGGATGTTCAACAATATTTGTGCATCACTTTCTTAACTGATTGAACAACTAATTATTCTGTCCATCTCAACACATCTAATTGTTCTGTCATTCTCAAACTCTATCATACCAATGCAAATGTCTCTGTTATCTCCTTATGCAGAAAGAATGCTTCTTTTTCCCCCTGGAATTTATAGTGCTAGTCACTCAAGTTGAGGAAACTTTCAACATTGCCATTTGCTCTTTCGATTTCAATCAGTGATTCTTATTCCTGGTTACACATTAAAAAGACCAGGGAATCTTTCAGAAATAAATAAGGACACTCATAGATTAATATGGACATCCACATATTATGATTAAATTAAATTAAAATGGAGGACATCTTTTTATTATTTAAAGATTATCGATGAGGCAGGTGTTTAGCATAGCAGTTAAAATGCTGCTTAGGACACCCCAACCCCTTTTTGGATTGTCTGGTTTCAAGTCCTGACTCTACTTCTGATTCAAGATTCATGCTGGTTTACACATTAGTAAGTAACAGGTGACAGGTTAAGTACTTGGGTAGTGCCACCCATACTGAAGATCCATATTCAGATTTTGGCTCTGGCTTTGGCTTACTACAGCCTCCTGGCTGTTGGGAGGATTTGAAGAATGAACAAGTGGATTGCAGCTCTCTCTCACTCTTTCTCTCTCTTTCCATAGCTATAAATTAATAAATAAATACATAACAATTGCTCAAGAGTTGCTAATACACAGAATTTAAAATGATTGTTATAGATTCTAGTGAAGGAATAGAGGCAGTAAGTCTTGACTCTCTGGTCTGTTGTTCACTCTCTATTGTTTCTCTGCTGTCAAGACTTCTTTTAACTCAGTCTTTTCATCCCTTTTGAATTTCAGTAACATTGCAGCAACATTTCTACACAAGACACAATTATTTATTTCTTATCTTTGTTCTATATCTCTACGACTTTTTTTTTTTTCTTCTGGGAGCATGTGGGATTGAGTGCAGTCCTCTGAAGACCAGGCAAAACTATCAAGACTGGCAAGTACCTTGAATTTATCAAAACATTTTCCCCATCTCTCTCCATATAGATACTGAATAAATATCTCATTACCTTAAGAATTTATAAGACAATTTTAGGATGATGTTTCTTAAATTTTCTCAACATTGTGGACATGTATAATGGGGCATGTACCTATTTCCCACTATAAACTTTCATTTTAGTGTAGTATCTCTTCAATTTTGATGTGAAGAATAGCTGACATTAATTACCTCTGAATCTTAAGATGTATACTTAGTACCATGATGGTCTCTGAAATGTCTTTATTCACTTGTTTACATCATAAGTTTAACAACTTGGACCTCATGGTGAGTTGTACTGTTGACTTTTCTTGACAATTATTTAATCATAGAAGCAGCTGGATACCACATCTGAATTCAAAGTCCCTAGTGATACATCTCTGAATAGAACATGAACATTGCTGGATGTGTTTTGGTCAGCTGTACTATCATGCAGACCCCGGCTAGAGATTGATTTCAGCCATTGTTTGAGGAAAGGGAGAAATATGAATAGGATTATGAAGAATAGAGTAGGAAAACTGATGATTTCATCGTGAATGAGGATCCTCAAGTTGAGTGTGGGATGAAGTACATTAAATGATTTATCATATAACAAATCTTCCTAATTTTTTTAAAGATAAATTTAACTGTTTGAAAATCAGAGCTAATGAGAGAGGAGGAGAGAGAGAGAGAGAGACAGAGAGAGAGAAAGAGAAAGAGAGAGAAAATTCCATCTGCTGTGCTGGTTCACTCTCCAGATGGGCACTACAGCCAGGATTGTACCAGGCTGAAACTAGGAGTCAGGAGCCTTTTCCTGGTCTCCCACACACAAGTATTTGGCCCATATACTGCTGCTTTCCCAGGCACATTAGCAGAGAAGTGGATCAGAAGTGGAGCAGCTGTGATGTGAACCAGTGCCCATATGGGATACCAGCATTGTAGGTGGCAGTTTCACCTACTACACCACAATGCTAGACCTGTAATCATCCTAAAATAAGAATTAAGCAATTTGATCAGTGCTGACACATTATGGATGCCCTTGCAATGGGAAAATATTTGACTGGTTATATCCAGCACTACATTGGTGTGGAATGTATTTTCTCTTCATGACATTCACACACCATCAAGTCTTCAACTTTCAAAGCTCTTTGGAAAGTAGGTTGTCAACAAGCACAGTAGGACAAGGAGACAAATGGTGGAGAAAGAGAGGGGAAAAAATTGGGGTTCAGATCTTTAGGCAATGAGTGAATGATCTCTTGTCATATATTTTCTTCCTTCTTTCTGCTTCTCAACTGTACTTTAATTTAAGCTGTGGTTGGCACCAGTGAAAAATCAAAGAATTTGCTTAGGATGCATCTTTCTCAAAAAGAGAGAATGAAAGACCTTATGACATATTATTTATCTGGGTCATGATCAGACATGCCATTCAAAATTTTGGAAGTTTCTGAAATTGGAAAATGATGTAATGAAAATCTATGAACTGTACCATCAAATTACTAGAAGAAAACATTGAGGAAACTGCAAGACATTGGCATGAGCAAAGACTTCTTGGAAAAGACCCCAGAAGCATAGGCAATCAAAACCAAAATAGACAAATGGAATTACATCAAGCTGAGAAGCGTCTGCCCTGCAAAGGAATCACTCAATAAAGAGAAGAGGCAAACAGTATGGGAGAAAATATTTGTAATCTATTCAACTGATAAATGATTAGTACCCAGGATCGCCAGAGATCAAGAAATTCAACAAGAATAAAACAAATAATCCAGTTAAGAAACGGGCAAATGGCATGAACAGATATTTTTCAAAGCATGAAATTTAAATGGCCAACAGATGCAAGAAAAAAGCTCAGTATCACTAGCCATTAGGAAAATGCAAATCAGAACCACAATGAGGCTTTACCTCACCCCAGTTAGAATGGCTCTCATCCAATAATCAGCAAACAGTAAATAATGGTAAGGATGTGGGAAAAAGGTACCCTAATGCACTGTTGGTGGGACTGTAAACTAGTTTAACCACTATGGATACAGTATGAAGAATTCTCAGAAATCTAATAATAGATCTACTGTATGACCTAACATCCCACTTCTGGGAATTTACCCAAGGGAAATGAAATCATTATATGAAAGAATGATTTATACCCCCATATTTGTAGCAGCTCAACTCACAGCATAAGCTAAGGAATCAACACAGATGAGATCAACTGATGATTCAATGAATTAAAATATGTGGTATGTATGTACCATGGAATACCACACAGCCATAAAAATGCATGAAATCCTATTCCCGCCTTTTGCTACAAAATGGATGCAACTGTAAACCATTATGCTTAGTGAAATAAGTCAGTCTCAAAAAGACAAATTTTCCCTGATTTGTGGTAGCTAATATACTAAGTGCAAAAATGTAATGTATATGAGAAATTGACATTTTGAGATTTGATTATTGTTTACAGACCTTGTTTATACTCTCAAGGAATAGTGGTTTTACTATATATGTACTCCTTGTTGAAGCCTTAATTTAGTGGAAGGTTAAGTTTGTGATTATAAAATAAACTGAGGAGTCGGCGCTGTGGCTCAGTGGGTTAAAGCCCTGGCCTGAAGTGCCGGTATCCCATATGGGCACTGGTTCTAGTCCAGGCTGCTCTTCTTCCGATCCAGCTTCCTGCTATGGCCTGGGAAAATAATAGAAGATGGCCCAAGTCCTTGGACCCCTGCACCCATGTGGGAGACCCAGAAGAAGCTCCTGGCTCCTGGCTTCAGATTGGTGCAGCTCCCGCTGTTGCAGCCATCTGGGAAATGAATCAGCAGATGGAAGACCTCTCTCTGTCTTTACCTCTCTCTGTAATTCTGTCTTAAAAAATAAACTGAAAGGATT